TAAGCTAAAGTTCTAGGAATACAGCCGATCATTCAAATATACAGTACATTCTTGTTTTAAAAAGAAAATAACTTGGTAGTGAAATGGTTAGCTCATTGGTTTTAAACGACTTAAACTACTAACAGTTTATAATTAGCATCACATACATATGCTTCATGAAAGGTACTAATTTTATCCTCTGTAGGATTTCACAGTTTATACTAATGTGTAAATTAAATGTGAGTCAAGTTTTTTGTTTTTTTTTCTAAGGAAGCTGATTTTCTCCCACTACGCTCCGTGGGTTGTGTGAAATCTTGCTTTTTGCCGTAAGACACTGACAAAGCACATGGAAGTAAACTTGTGAAAACATGAATGATTACAGTGTAGTATTAAATTCAGAATCCATAAGGAACACTCCATTGATAACAAACGTAACTTTTTTCTCACTATTTAGGAGATATAACCCCAAATAAAACATCCATGCATACATGCAGAGGCTGCAGATCTGTTGCCTGCAGCCATTGCAGGCCCTTCCCCTTATCACTGGCAAAGACTTTCAGACTGTTCCAGTGGATTCATCAATACGAGACATCTTATTGAGCAATGTCTATGGGTAAGCTGTGAGTTTATGCATGTAGCTTTTCTTTCATAGACTTCTGAATGAGCTCCAGCTCTAGTCTAACGCATCTGCTGCTTCTGTTATGGAGAACTATTAAAACCTCCCTGGCTCACTGACAGCCGGCGAGGTGTTGCTTAGTCCAGTTATAAATGTGCTGATTTTTATTGAAATTGGCACTTTCAGAAACTGAAAAGAAAAACAAAAAGAGACTCTAGGCCCAGCATTTCCCAATTTGTGTTCTCTAGGGTTCTGCAAGAAAAAAATTGGGGTTCTGCAGCAATTTGCCGATCGGGTGGCCCAAGCATTTAGTGCCTCTCGATCGGTATCACTGAACAGGGACCGGTCAGGCAACAAAACTACGATCGGACTCCTGTAGCATGGAATGCTGGGAGGAACTGACAGCCTGTCACTTCCTCCCAGACAGAGTGCCGAGCGGGACGGGAAGAATGAGCAGCAGTGAGGAGTGAGCAGCACACCAGACTCAGCCAGCAGCCTGCAGCACTCCAAGCAAGTCACCCTTCTGCAGGAAAAAAGGTAATCTAACGGGAGGGTGACTGCAAATACCTGTGTGTGTGTGTGTGTGTGTGTGTGTGTATGTGTACTATGTGTCACTGTGTATAGTTGAGTATGTGGGTATCTGTGTTTGTGTCACTCTATGTATCTGTGTGACAATGTGTGTAGATCTGTGTCTCAGTGTATCTGTCAGTGTTTGTATGTGCCAGTGTGTGTATCTGTGTGCCTATGTGCCAGTGTGTGTATCTTTGTGCCAGTGTGTTTATCTGTGTGTGTGTCTGAGGGTGTGTGTATGTGCCAGTGTGTATGTGGCGCTGTGTCTGTCAGTGTATGTGTACGTATCAGTGTGTATCTCTGTGCGTGTATGTGCCTGTGTGTGTATATCTTTGTGCCAGTGTATTTTTCTGCGTGTCCATGTATCTCAGTGTGTGTAACTGAGTGTGTGTGTGTGCCTGTGTGCCAGTGTGTGTATCTCTGTGCCTATGTGCCAGTGTGTGTATCTGTGTGTATGTGCCAGTGTATATCTGTGTCAGTGTATCTGTCAGTGTGTGTGTGTGTGCCAGTGTGTATGTGTGTGTATCTGTGTGTCAGTGTATCTGTCAGTGTGTGTATCTGAGTTTGTGTGTGTGTGTGTGTATGTGCCAGTGTGTACCTGTGTGCCAGTGTATGTACCAGTGTGTATCTGTGTGCCATTGTGTATCTTTGTGTGTATCTTTGCCAGTGTGTGTATCTTTGTGTCAGTGCATCTGTCAGTGTGTGTATCTGAGTTTGTGTATGTGCCAGTGTGTGTATCTTTGTGCCCATGTGCCACTGTGTGTATATCTGTGTGTATGTGCCAGTGTGTATCTGTGTGTCAGTGTATCTGTCAGTGTACGTATGTACCAGTATGTGTCTTTGTGCCAGTTTTTATCTGTGTATGTGCCAGTGTGTGTATATCTTTGTGCCAGAGTGTGTATATTTGTGTCAGTGAATCTGAGTGTGTGTCTGTATGTGCCAGTGTGTGTATCTGTGTTGTAGTGTGCGTACATGCCAGTGAGTGTATCTGTGTGTGTTTCTGTTTGTTAAAGGACCACTATAGTGCCAGGAAAACATACTCGTTTTCCTGGCACTATAGTGCCCTGAGGGTGCTCCCACCCTCAGGGACCCTCTCCCGTCCGGCTCTGGAAGGGGGAAAGGGGGAAAAACTTACCTTTTTCCAGCACTGGGCGGGGAGCTCTCCTCCTCCGATCCTCCTCCTCTCCTCCCATTCGGCTGAATGCACACGCACGGCAAGCGCTGCACGCGCATTCAGCCGGTCACATAGGAAAGCATTTGCAATGCTTTCCTATGGACGCTGGCGTCCTCTCACTGTGAAAATCACAGTGAGAAGCACGCAAGCGCCTCTAGCGGATGTCAATGAGACAGCCACTAGAGGATTTGGGGGGAAGGCTTAACCCATTCATAAACATAGCAGTTTCTCTGAAACTGCTATGTTTATAAAAGAATGGGTTAACCCTAGCTGGACCTGGCACCCAGACCACTTCATTAAGCTGAAGTGGTATGGGTGCCTAGAGTGGTCCTTTAATATGTATATATATCTGTGTTAGTGTGTATGTGTAGACATCCCAGCAATCAAACACCATCATGCAAACAAATTCCTGCAAATATGACATACAAAGACACCTCTGAACTCCAACTCTAAAATTATATACAAACACTCAAACATACTCATCACTCAAACACCAATAATACACACAAATGTACATCCGCATTTAAACTCCAACACTACATCTAAACACACCATTGCACGTGAATGCAAGCATAATAGAAACATAGAAACATAGAATGTGATGGCAGTTAAGAACCATTCGGCCCATCTAGTCTGCCCAATTTTCTAAACACGATCATTATTCCCTTGCCTTATCTTATAGCTAGGATAGCCTTATGCCTATCCCATGCTTGATTATACTGTGTTAACTAGGCTATTCCATGCATCCACTATCCTCTCAGTAAAGTAATACTTCCTGATATTACTTTACTGAGAGGACTATGTCCTCTTGTTGTGGCAGTTTTTCTTCTTTTAAATATAGTCTCCTCCTTTACTGTGTTAATTCCCTTTATGTATGTAAATGTTTCTATCAATATACAAATACACCCCTGTATTAAAATGCTAAAATTATATACAAATACCAGCTCTACACACAGAAGCACACTTGCTACCAAGTACTACAATCTGTTTACTATGTGTAGAAATTTGCAAAAAAAATAAACCCTTACACTCTGTTAATTAAAAGGTTTGTGTTACGGCGCAAATTTTTTCGGGGGGATCCACGATGTACACTATGCCAAACGGTTCCACGGGAAAAAATAATTAGGAACCCCTGCTCTAGACACATAAAGAAAGGGTCAATGTTGAACCCGCTTTAGGGTCAGTTTAGGACCCGCTTTAGGGGGGTCTGCCTTGATGTTGGCAGGCGGGCATTCCCTCCAATGAGCATTGGAGCAGTCATAGCGTCATTGCTGCCCAGAAGTGATGGGAGTGAGCGCAGGACTTATCTTTTTGTATTTGTATTTACTTTGTATCACACAGCCTTGTTACAATGCTGCCGCCCATCCCATGTGTTCCCGATTAAGGGTTAATAAGTATATAGGGGAGTATATAAAAAAATACCCCTCTCTGTCTCATTAGAGATGTCTTTGCCAGAAGCTCAAGGAAGCAGGCTGAAGGGTCAGTGTTGAACCCGCTTTAGGGGGGTCTGCCTTGACATTGGCAGACGGGCAGGGCCGCCATCAGAAATTTTGGGGCCCCTGACAAAGCACAAGGTTTGGGCCCCCCCTCACTCCCGGGCCCGCCCACGCCCTACCTGGTCCGCTGACAATGATGCAGGACTGAATGTGGTGTGTATAGTGGAAGTGAATTAGAATATGTGTAATGGATGTAGTGTTTGTGTGTATTAGATACTGTTTGTACAGTGAATGCAGAGTGTGTGTTTGTGTAGCGGATGCAGTGTGTATAGTGAACGCAGAGTGTGTTTGAGTAGTGGATATACTGTGTGTACAGTGATGTAGTGTGTGTTTGTGTAGTGGATGTAGTGTTTGTATGTACTAGATGAAATGTGTTTAGTGGGTGCAGTGTCTGTAGTGGATGTAGTGCATGTATTAGACGCAGTGTCTGTGTATAGTGAATGCAGAGTGTTTCAATGTGTGGTGGATGTAGTGTGTGTACTGTGAATACAGGATGTTTGTGTAGTGGATGCTGTGTGTACAGTTAATGCAGAGTGTATGTTAGTGTAGTGAATGCAGAGTAAGTGTCAGTATAGTGAATCCAGAGTGTATGCATAGTTTAGTGAATGCAGAGTGTGTTAGTGTGTAGTGAATGCAGAGTGTGTCAATGTAATGAATGTAGTGTGTGTGTTAGTGCAGTGAATGCAGAGTGTGTGTAAATTTGTAGTGAATGCAGAGTGTGTGTTAATGTGTAGTGAATGCAGAGTGTGTGTTAGTGTAGTGAATGCAGTATGTGTTAGTGTGTAGCGGATGCAGAGAGTGTGTTAGTGTGTAGCGGATGCAGAGAGTGTGTTAGTGTAGTGAATGCA